TTAGCAGCGGAGAGGCTGGGCTGACTGCTCGCACATACCGCTCCTATTGCTATAGCGTATGCGCTGTTAAGACTTGCCGAGCAGGCATCCGATACGACAGATGACCGGCCCCTACAAGAGAAGAGGAGGCGGGCGCTTAACCCAAAAGGTCGAGGGGTTGCTAGAAACCTCAGTAGGGTTGGTGCTCCCAAGGGTTTGCATTTTTAACCAAACCATTCAACTAGGTTAAAGCGAATGCCAGGAGCGGTATCCATTACCTCGGCAAAGCAGTAGATCTCGATAGAGAACAGGGGAGGAATCTGCTTCGCGAGGGTAGATAGATTCTCACGACTAGGAGGAAGATTGCTAGCATGGAGGGGACGAGGGTTTTGGGTTTGGTGGTTTTGGGGGCGTTATGGTTGCGGGAAAGGGAGGGGGGGTTCAGGTGGGTTGGGGGTGGTGGTGAGACATGGGTGGTGGTTTTGGGGATGGCTGTGGTGAGTTGGGGGAAGGCGGCGGTGGCGCGGGGGTGGTGCTGTGGTGGTGACTGGGTAGTTTTAGGTTTTTATTTATTTTTTTTTAATTTTTTTTTCTTTTTTTGGCCAATAATAACATGACACGTGGCTTATCGACCCACTTAACGGATTCCTAAACAGAATCAGTTAAGTGGTGGTAATACCAAATTTGTAGAAATTTATCTGGTGTTAAAATCCATTTTTTTTATGGAGGTGTTAAAAATCAATTTTTGCGTTTTTGTGAGGTGTTAAAATCTAAAATTTCCTAATATTAGGATTATTATGGCAAAAGTGACTATCATTCGGGGACGGAGGGATTAGTTGTTAGGATTATTATGAGAATATTTTGTGATATATCTTGGTTGATTATCTCCTTGTTAGTAGTAGTTTATGCCATAATAATAAGCTGTAAGGTAATATAACCTTCTCCACTTCTGCAAAAGATGATGATGATGATTGCCCTCAAAAAAAAAAAAAAAATTGACGATTAAGTGCTCAAATGAAGAGAAATTTCCAAGATAAATTCTTGCTATTAATAAGACATCAATCATACGTATTGTTCATCGTACAACATTCTTATTATTTATATGATTGATTACATTCGTAGCAATGTAGTTTGGAGCAAGAAAGACGACGCGACACTTAAGCTTTAATGAAACTTAGAACGTGGAAGAAATTTGGATCTCTTGAAACTAGACCTAACCACACAACCACACCATGCTGTTGTCATCTGTGACGTCAGTATCATCAATAGCGCCGCATACGATATCTTTCTTAGCTGCAAACACATCGATCGTACTACTAGACGGACAATGAAGATTACGTTAAGGTCAGAGGAAATGTGGATTGTTGGAATATTTGCTTCAAATTGTTAGTGGTTAGTTAACTCCTAATGTTAGTGGAATCATAACAGTAGTGGGTTAGTTTAGTGGGGGTTAATGTTAGCATGATCAATGATCATGGATTATGTTCCTTATTTTTAGTTATATTTTACACTATATATATGTTTGCAATGTAGTACAATTTTAAAATGGATTGAATACGACTTTTATCATTCTTTCCCTTCTCTCATCTCTATTTTATTATTTCAACATGTTATCAGAGTTTCAGGTTAGATCCGGGATAAGAAAAAAAAAGGGAAGGAAAATAGATGAAGAAAAAGAAAAAAAAGAGAGAGAGATAAAGAGTATTAAAAAAAATATCGAGTAAGGAGACAAGCAACGCAGCTTGATCTCATTGTTTGAGAGCAATATTTTTTTTTTCGAGTGAAATTTTTTGTGAGTATTTTTTTGTGTGTTTAACCATGGAAGTAATGGTTAGTGTGGTGTGTTGGTGGGTTCCCTTTTAGCCCATGAAGGTATGGAAGTCATAATGAATGAAGAGATGGTTTCCAAGATAATACCAAAGATGTTTGGTATGATGCAAGGTGACATGGTCAATTGGAGGACAATGTCAAAGAGAGTTAATGGAGAGATATGCTCCATTGAATGTAAGTTGATGATAATGTGCATCAACAAGATCAATTAATTGATGAGAAGTGCATCAATAAAAAAATGTTGAGGATTAGTTGTGCGGAGAGAAGTGCTCCGAGAATATCATGTTGGTGATAATGTGCACCATCAAAATTTTGTGGGTGATGAGATGTGCATCACAAAATGCCGTAAAAGCAAAAGAAAATTTCGTCGAAATCAAGCATGAAAATCGAATAGTCATTGTAATCCAATTTGAAGCAAAGGGGGTGTGTTGGAATATTTGCTTCAAATTGTTAGTGGTTAGTTAACTCCTAATGTTAGTGGAATCATAACAGTAGTGGGTTAGTTTAGTGGGGGTTAATGTTAGCATGATCAATGATCATGGGTTATGTTCCTTATTTTTAGTTATATTTTGCACTATAAATACGTTGCAATGTAGTTACAATTTTAAAATGGATTGAATACAACTTTTATTATTCTTTTCCTTCTCTCATCTCTATTTTATTATTTCAACATGGATGTGTTTTTGTGATGGGTCGGATGGTAGAAACGTTACTGGGGTTTCGCCGTAAAAGCCTTCGGCTAGTTGGGCTACGTATTGAGGGCATTCGGGTTGGTTTGGTTTGGATGCCGCGATTAGGCCACCCCAATACGGAGTTCTGAAAGTGCAGTGCGGATGTAGTAGGATCGGAAGAGCCTACTTCGAGTGGGTTCCCTTCGATGTCGAGGTCGTTGGCGGCTGTCTTTGCAGCTCCGATGAAAAGGAAAGTGATAAGGAAGATTGTTGCTGAAAATTGGATGATAAGATTAGCCATTTGTATGTTATTTTTTAAGTTTGATGAGAAAAGTTAGAGTTAGAGGGTAAGGATGCGTTCGTTATTTTAAGCCAGGACATTTTCTATAAGTGCCTCTTTGTTTGGAGCTAAACTTTAGACAGAACCAACAACTAAGTTTGGACATGTGATTGAAAGGATAAAAGGGTAAATTTTAATGTACAATATATATTTTTTTTTTTACAATAGCAATAAAACTATCGTTATACATACCCTATTAGATTGAAATGGAACTAAATTGAATTGGACTAAACTAACTTAATAACAATTAAATAGGAATTCCATAAAAAAAGAGTCTTGAGAATTTTTATTCGATTTAGGAATATGGTGTACGGTGTTAAAAAAAAAAAAAAAAAAAGGAATATGCTTGTATGTTTAGGTTCGTTACCCCAAAACATTGTTGCTTTGGCCAATATGGATTCTCCTTGATTAATTAATAATATGGCCGCTATCGTTTGGTTAAAAAAAAAAAAAATTATTGGTTCATGTCTCAAGCAAAATATCTAAGTTCTAATTTTTGCTCTATTTCAAGCATAAAGGTATTGTTAGATGACCAAATTTATAATTTCAAAATATATAAACAAAAACATAAAATGAATATTACTAGAAAAAATTATCAAAAACTACACGCTTAATAGGGGTATTTGTAAACAACTACTCGGTAAAAAAAAAATTTAAAAAAAAAAAAAACTACCCATAAATTTAAAAACTTAGTGTAGCACTACACATTTCAACTTTCGGCAACAAACTCCGGTGTCAGCCCCAGTTGTTAAATTAGTAACCCCTAACCAATTAACCCCTCCAACCTGGTAAACATTGACCACCTAGTAACCCATGACCCACCTAGTAACTCCTGACCGAGTAACCTATGACCAAACCAAGTAACCCCTGACCGAGTAACCTCTGACCGAACCTAATTTAATAACCTCTGATCGGACCTATTAACCTGACCTAATCACCAATTCCACCTCTAAAGTAGCCACCTAACCACCAATTCCAACAATCAACCATCTTCGAAAGTCGTAACAATGGCGACCACAACACGACCATCATCTAACCTTCAATTGTTGTAGTGACCGAACCCACAACACCACCAACTCCCGCATTCACACTACCAACCCCAGCCCCAAACGCCTGCCACTAGCCCCTAACCCACAAAACAAACCCTAATCCAACCATACCATTAAAAAGAAAAAAAAATTAATCGAACAAATACCTTAAAAAGTTAACAATGGCTTCGAATTTCACTTCAAGTATGGCTATAAAGGCCAAAATTCGACCATGAAAACTCTGGATCTAGAGTTTTCATGGCTGAATTTGGCCTTAAAAACCTTGAACTTGTTTTCCGATTTACGGAGTCACCAAAACCACCACTACCCACCCAGCGAAACCACCTTCTCCGACCAAACAAACCACGAAGACGACTATCGATGATGGTTGCGAAATTCGTGTTCTCTGAGAAAATGAGATGCAGGTTCTGGGCTTGGAGAGGAAGAAAAGAGGAGACAGAAGAGAAAGAAAAGAATTTTAAAAAAATGTGTGGCAGTGTGGCCAGCTACATATTTGTACTTAATTACAATTATTATTCAAGCTTAATTATTTTTTATTAATATGCGCTAACAATATGTTGTTTACAATTGGATTATGCAACAACCATACTAGAAATTTAAGAAGAATTCATTCGTGATTTTCCATCCTTGGAATTTGATATTGCTCAACATAATTTTGCAATTACACTTATATTTTTCATCTCAATATGTAGTAAAGTGTGACTGTGGTGCATGCTCATCACTTAAGTAAATATGTTACAAGCAACGTTTTGTCGAGCGTGCGTGCTTATTTTGCGAATGGGTTTGGTACTATGGTACCCTTTGCAAGTTGTTCCATGTACGTATAGTATAGATTATCTGATTAGAATTTGGGTTTAGATTTGGATCCTCATCTCCTAACCAAAAATTATATTAATCGTCATAACATAAGTAAATACGAAAAGAAAAAGAGTAATACGAAGTAATACATAATTAAAAGAGAGAGTAAAATTACATAACTCAACTCGGTTGATGAATAAATCATAAACTAGAGGAGGAATTTATTTATGCGTGGACTATATAATATATATATATATATATATAGCCAAATAATACCACGTACACTTACACTGACACACAGTTACATCTTACACAAGTGCCAAATCAACTTAATTAAACATAAGAAGCTAACTTAGGATCAGCTTTCACGAAAGTAACAGGATAAGGAGAATCAGGGACGACTGCCAAAAGCTCGTTAACATATGAAACATCGTTACACTTCATTCCGAAACTCTAAAAAAATTGGACTCGATTGTGTGACAAAACTTTATATTGTACACATACTTACCAGTTTTAGCTTCTTCAATTTTGAATGCATAAGTGTCCTTAAATTTACCATCAGCACCAACAACAACGTACGAGTTATTGTTTTCGTCTTCTTCGGCTACCCACCAACGTAACTCTTTGTTGCAAGTGGCATACTCACGATTAAAGTAAAATTCAATAGGCATAGAGGTCATAAGAAACCCAATTTTCAAAGGGGAAGACATTAATACGGGTAAGCCGTTAGAGTAGAGTTTTTGGGTGATAAAAAGAGGGCATGGTGACGACGAGTTACCTTTTGTCAAGGCTAGGCCACCAACGCCTATTAAGCGTGGGATGATGTAGTAGCTTCCCCCGTTTTTGACTAGGTCGCCGTCCGTGTCTAGGATAGGGGCGGCGACACTAGAAACGGGGGACAGAACGAAAAGAACAAGAGTAACTGCAGCAACTGGGAGGAGAAATGAAGCCATTTCTCTATTTTGGTGAATCACTTTTGCTAGGGTTATATTGTTTTCTTTTGTTGAGCTTTGTGGGTTGATGAGGAATTGAAATAGAAGGCTGCTATTTATAGAGAATTGTATTGAAAATACAGTTTTTTTTATTTTTGTTTTGGGTCCTTACAAATAAGCGTAACATTGCATGGTGTATGTGCATGAATATTACTCCCTTTGTTCCTAAATGTTTTTTACGTTTTTATTTAGAGTTTTCCTTTTTATTCTTTATATTTAGTATCTTTCCTATTTTAATCATAAATTTTGGACAAAAATTACCCTTGTTTTACAATTTTTATATTCAAAAGTCCTTAATTTTCCATGTGATATTGTACTTTTTGTACTATTTTAATAGTTTTTTCAACACTTATTATTACTTTCACTCTCCTTTCTCCTCTAATTTCTTCACCCCACATGCTCAACATTGATTTTTCATTGAAATATTCCAACATGCCTCAACTTTATACAATTTCTTAATAACCGCGCATAATTCCAAACGTAAAAGATAGATTGTCAATGTATAGTCTGTAATACAGTTTTTTTTTTTTTTTTTTTTTTTTGATGGAGTGTAATACAGTATTACAAGATTTGGGTCCAACATTATTGGGAAAAGATAGTATAGTATGACATGAATCATGTCGACATAACTAGAAATTTACAAGCATACATTTTGACATGATTTTTATAGTATTTTTTTGTAGTACTGAAGTTGACAAAAGAGAAATTAATTACTTGGACCATTTGTGGTCGTTGAGAAAGTAAATTATAGCTACATGAAAAAAACAAGTGTAAAACTATGACCACTAATATAAAATGGGCTCAAGAGACACCTTTAGAGGCAGTCCTGTGTCTCTAGTTTAAGTTGTCTCTTCATTTGATGACGTGGCCTAACTAATTTCATAGAATCTGAGACCTGTTATCTAAAATATGAGGTCTCCACCATTGACCTAATTTCTTGGCTAAAAATTCTAGCGTAGTCGTCGACTACGGACAACTACGGACGACTATGGTCGACTATAATAAGAGATTAAAATCTCAACGGTTATTTGTAAATTGACTAATCCTAGGCGTTCAAATCGACACTCAAAAAAACAATCATCAAGTCTAGTCATCAAGTCATTAACTCTTGTTTGGTTAAATTTATTTGTTCAAACATTTGTTTTTTTTTTCTTTTATAAAATGAATAAAAATATGTTCCAAATAAAAAATATTCATCTTCAACTTATATCATCTAAAACCCTTCAGATCAATCTACAACATTCATTCTTCTGGTTTCAAATTAATTAAATTCTTATATTTAGTTTGATTTCATAAATTATAATAAAATTAATTTTCTGATTTTATATTATTTATTTAATGATTTAGGAATTAATTTATGGATTAATCGTATTACTTTGTGTTTAACTTTTATTAGTCGTATGAAATCATGAATATCATCCACCATTGATGAACGTTCAAGCTATGACATGATTTTAGGTTGAAGATAGATAAAAATAAAAAAAATAGAACAAGATATTTCTTTTTAGAAACATAAATCAAGATATATAACTAAAATTGAAAGAAGTGTTTCCATAATTTTAGCTATATTTTTTTTTTATAAACTGGCGTTATTTGAGGAGGGTTTTTTTTTATTTTTTATTTTATTTTATTTTTTAACAGACTAGGCGTGATTATTTGGAATTTATTTTTTTTAATTTTTATTTTTTTTAAACAGACTAGGCGTGATTATTTGGAATTTTTTTTTTTTGTTTTGTGAAAGGAGTAGGCGTGATTTGGAGAGGAATTGAATATATATAAAATATTTCCCTATATTATTTTTTAAATTTGTTAATATATAAATATAAAATTTTCTTAATTCATACAAGGTTTATTACAAAATAATGTCATTGGCTAACTGATATTATTTCACCATGATTTATTTTTTACTTATTTTCTCGTATATGCTATTGAGTCCTTATCTTTAAGATTTTATTTAGTTTATTATATTGAAAATATTCTTTTCTATCTTTGTACAATATCTTTTTAGGTAGGATATTTTTCCATTCTTGGCTCTTTGTGTATGTATAATATATTGTAATTACATTCCTCCTTTCAAGGGAAACAAAATTAATAGGCATACGTGCATTAAAATCTAATATATATAAATAAAGTAGCATTTTTGGAGAGCGTGAGAGCGCCACATAAGAAAAGGTATATTTTCGACCAATTAAAAATTATATTTCTATTTTATTTTAGAATTAAAAAAATCACTCGCCACCTAAAACAAAAGTGACGAATGAAATTTTAAATTTTTGCCACGTAGGTAAAAACGACGAATAGTAATTTATTAGGATTTTAATTATTTAAGAACACTAAATTTTATCATTTTTATTTGTTACAAAACTAAAAAATTATCTTTATATATTAGGATTTATATCATTTAAATAACTAAAAATTATATTTTGATATTTAAAAAATATAAATTATCATTTGATGTTAAATGGTTTTATGTAAATATCTTATGATATAATACTTTCATACAAAATTTTAAAACTTATAATGCAAGAAAAAAAAAATTAAGAGATCACCACAAAAATATTTATGTAAAAAAATGTATATAAAAATTTGTGCATCGCACGCCACATAAGCAAAAGTAATATTTCGACCAATGAAAAATTAGATTTATATATTTATTTAGAATTTTAATTTTCATTCGCCATTTAAGAAAAATTAACAAATGAAATTTGAGAATTGAAAACAAAAAAATAGTAATTTAAGATTTAAATTATTAAAAAAAATAAAAATTATCTTTTATATTATCTTTTACATTAGGATTTATATTATTTTAACAAATAATTAAAAATTAAAAAATATATTTTGATTTAATGATTTTATCTAACTATCCGATGAATGAGATAATATTTATTTCAATTTATAAATTCAAGTTCTATATACGTTAAATTTAAATAAGAATAATTTAAAACTTAACAAAAATTTTACCTTAAATTAATGTTAAAATAATAGAATAGAAAATAAAAACAAAAAAAATTAAGAAATTACAAAAAAAAAATATACAAAATGAATACAAACTTTTAAATAAAACGGATGTTCAGTAAATTACTGAACATCCGTTATAAAGTGACAATAAAATGTGCAAAAGTTACACTAAAACGCACAAAAGTTATTGTGACATATATAAGAGTTATTATGCTTTATTGATAAATTTGACAAAAGTGACACTAAATTTGACAAAAGTGACACTAAATCTGACAAAAGTGTACCCGATATACAGTAAATTACTGAAAACCGGGTGTATACAAAATTTTTCCCAAAATGAAATATTTAAAAACCGTGCATTGCACGGGCTTACATCTAGTTAATTTTAAAACCACGGTAATTTTTATTTAGGGAAGTAGCTAGTAGGGCACTTGGCAAGGAAAAATATTGAACCCTGACTATTATGTGTTTTTTTTTTATTTTTTTTTGAATAGACTGTATGTGTTTGAGATGTAGAAATGTAGGAATAAGCTAAGAAATGTAGGAATATATCCAATAAAATTAATCAACCTAATTATGTGTTTGAGAATCAAAAGATAATTGATAATTAAGTGTAAGAATGTGAATAATGTGAATTTACAAGTTTTGCACTAAAAGTGAACCTCGACTATTATAATGTGTAAATAAGGTCACTAATTGGTGACACACATGATAATCTAGGTGGTCCCAATATTTAACATTGTTCTTTTGTTTAGTTGAATTATGTATAATTAGTCTTTATCCAAAAGATATAAATATTTAACTAAATTTATTCAGATAAACACGTACATATTTTGAACATATGACACCTTGAGGGGATGTAATCAAGTATACATGACTCTTTGCAAAATTATATATGAAGGGACCAGTTCACATTTAATAAGTTGAGGTGAACTGATTGGAACTGAACTGAACTGAAATGATTGGAGCTGAACTGAACTTAATTGAACTGATTGGAGCCGAATTGAATAGAGCTTAAATGAATATCTTATGAGAGAAGGAAATTAGGAGCTGAACTGAACTACGGGCCTGTTAATATTTACTTAATTTCAGTTCAGTCAGTTCAGTTCTAATCAGTTCAGTTTAGTTTAGTTTAGTTCAGTTCAGCTCCAATCAGTTTAGTTCAGTGCAGTTTAGTTCAGCTCCCAATTTCCTTCTCTCATAAAATATTCATTTCAACTCAGTTCAGCTCCAATCAGTTCATTTTAGTTCAGCTTCAATCAGTTCAGTTCAGCTCAGTTCAGCAAATATGAACAGGCCCTACGAAGGAAATTTTCAGCTCTATTCAGTTCAGTTCAGCTCCAATTATGAGTAGTTCAGTTCAGTTCAACTCAGTTTAATTAGTAAATCAGAACAGGCCCTAAGAGGTACAAAAATTTATCTTTAATATAAATTCTTATTTGATTTACTTACCACTATAATTTTATCTTCCTTAATTATCTTTTGACAAATTATCATTCGCTTAAAATTATTATTATAAGGTGAAAATTATTATTTTTTTTTTTTTGGTGACACTCATTTATAATTTAGGTGGTCCTATAGAAACATATAGATCTTTTGTTTAGTGGATTATGTACCCAAAAAAAAATTGACAAGGATTATGTTTAAACTTTATCTAAGGGCTTGTTCACTTCAGCTTAATTTCAATTCAGTTCAGCTTCAATCAGTCTAGTTCAGTTCAGCTATTAATTTCCTTCTCTTATAAAATATTCATTTCAATTCAGTTAAGTTCAGTTAAGCTCCAATCAGTTTAGTTCAACTCAGCTTAGTTCAGTAAATGTGAACAGGCCCTAAGGTATATGTATAATCATCTAAGGTTATACTGTATCAAATTGAAGAACATGTACTCCATAATTTTTTTAACATCTTAAACTGACGCAAGTGCAC